TGAACCTATTCTTGACCTATGCCAAGCGAAAAAGTCATATTACATGCCCGGGGTTAAAATATCTTTTTACCGTGAGTTTCTGACACCAAATTCTGTATTTGGAGCGGTTACCCGCGACTCCATCTGTGCGTTATTAGAAAAAAAACTTAATTAGTAGCCTATGCGCTCTTCCAGACTATGTTCTATATGTATCCCAAATTTGATTAAGATCCGTTCAGCCATTCTGGAGATACCTTGAAACAACCATCTATCCATTCATCCATCTAAACATTGGCATTTATAATATTAGTAAGAAGTAATATATCGTCATCTCCGTCTTTCATCTTTGACAAAACAAAGATAACAATATTAAACGGTGATTTTGGTCTCGGAAACCTGTTATTAATCGTGCAAAAAATAGTGAAGGAATTAATTCAAAATCATTTGAACACACGAAATACTCTAAATCTTAATACGAATACAAACAAAATTTTCTTTACGTAAATTTCGTAAGACAAAAATGCAAGGCTCGAAAAACTCTATAAATAAAATTTAATACTCAATTATTTTATGCTAATTAAGTGTAAACACGTAATTATAAAGGCAACAGCCGGTGAAGAGGATCCCAGCTATAAAATTCCTTTAAATAATAACTTGAAGGTGCTGCAAATTGCCGGATTTCATACACGGCCAGTACGTTACAGGTGTAAGTCATAGGCGACTGTATCTCAATTATAAAAAAAAACCAACAGTAAAACGTCGACCTAAAAGAGGCCTAGAAATATAGTAAGACTTAAATGCAGGTTAAGGATATTATGGACGTCAAAGTTGTATCATCATCAGCTCACTATACTATCCCCTCTGAAGGGCTCGGAGCCTACCCTAAGTTAGAAGTGACTAGGCCATAGTCAACCACGCTTTTCAAGTGCGGGTTGGTTGACTTCACACATATCTTTGAATTTCTTCTCAGATATGTGCAGGTTGCATCACGATGTTTTCCTTCACCGTAAGAACGTCGGATAAATGTACATATGTGAATCGGAAAATCGAAAAACACATTGGTGTATGGCGGGATTTGAACCCAAGACCTTCAGATTGTAAGCCAAGTGCTTAATCCCTGAATAACTGAAGCTTTGAATATGCGCTAAATTCAATAAAAAAAGAGAAAAGAAATATAATTTTGTTATTAAATAACAAAAGTGAGTAACATGGGACATAGACTTGCATCGTTTTCCATATTACAGGAGAGCGTGTTCTGAATTTTATGAGGGCACAAATGAACCAGGCCAGTATTTTTTGCCTAAAACCTTCTCTAATTATGCTTAAACATTACGTGCATATGAGCGGCGGTAGTTCAGAGATTACACACTTGACTTGTAATCTGCAGTTCCTGGGTTCAAATCTATAAAGATTTTCGACTAAAATATGTACATTATTCCGACGTTCTTACAGTGAAGAAAAACATCGTGATGCAACCTTTTTTTTCCAGAGAGGAATGCTTTATGCATACTCAGCGCCCCGGGGGGGACGCGGTAGTTATGTGGGATTCTCCTCCTTAACGGAGGCATACCCACTAAACCTCTCTGTTCCTCCAACGCATCGGGACGGGACCATGGGTACGCTTTCGCTTTCGTTCGCGAATCGTGATGCAACCTGCAAATATCAGTAAGGAAAATCAAAGATGTGTAGTCAACCAACTGTCAGTGGACCAGCGTGGTTGACTATGGCGTAGTCACTCCTGACTTATACAGAGAGGATAGTATAGTGAGCTGATGACGATTATGTGCATTTTCTCTATAATTTAACGGTTCAAAAAAAATACAGACCAATTGATAAGCTTCCCATACAAAATACCCGTGACCTTGTAGAGTGAAATAAAGCATGGTTACCAACTCTATTAAAAGCATATCAGACCGTTGGTTAGTCACCGTTTAATTTTAATTCTTTATCAGTTATAGTAACGTGATTCATTTTTAATGAATGAAAACGAAGTTTGCTGCTGCTTTGATGTAAAAAAGGCATATTAGTTAGACAACTGACGCCTATTAAATATTGAATTCATTTTGTATGAGCATTAATGTTGTACTTTATGGACGGTTGTCATAGTGTCGAGCCGTTGCGCACAACGAATAACTGTGAACTATCGACAATCGGTGTTGTAATAAAATTAATTAGTATTTTGGGTATTTTATAACTTTTTGAATTTATTACAGTTATCTGGCTACGTATCGCACAATTAATTAAAAAACATTTTTTGTACATCAACACCGTAAATGTTTGGTTTCATGTCTTATTTCTTTATGGCATTACGAAGGATAAAGTAGGAATAGGAAGAAACAATTTTATTTATATAGTAATTCAAAATCAATAATTAAAAAATATTCGATTGCAAGTTCTATGAGAACAACCATCGAACATCGAAAAAATGCTTAATGGATTTTATTCAACCCATATCTAGTGAATTGTCAAACAAATCTTAAATAGACACACTATATTAGTTAAATACTTCGCTATAAAATAAAAGTTCAAATAATATAAACAAAAGAATGTGTATACGCAAAGTTGATCCCTTATTATGCAAAATTGCCAAACGAGTGAACCCTCTAATAGGGTCACTCATCACTCAAAGAGATCCTTGAATTTCCTCTTAAAAGGCGTTTTTATTTTCTGAATAGCTAACATTCAGATGGCTAAAGATGGAGGAAATTTCATACCTGTTTGGATTTAGTTATTATTAGCTGTCCACACGAAATTAAAATAAAATTTTATTCAAACAATGTCTTCTTTATGAATATGTTCTATATGTAAGTCAAATTTCCATTCTGAAGATACCACCGAACAAACGATCCGCGCGGAATTAAAAAAAACTCAACTAGTAGTCTATGCGTTCTTCCAGACTATGTGCAACGTCTATGGCAAATTTCAGCCGCATACGTTCAGCTGTTCTGAAAATACCTTCAAACAAAAATCCATCCATCTTAACATGCGCCAGTAATCTTACGTATATATAAAATTCTCGTGTCACAATTTTCGTTCCCAGAATCCTCCGAAACGGCTTGACCGATTCTCATGAAACTTTGTGAGCATATTGTGTAGGTCTGAGAATCGGCCAACATCTATTTTTCATCCCCCTAAATGTTAGTCCACCCCTAAATTTTTATTTTTAATTTTTAGACAAACACGCGGACGGAGTCGCGGGCAATAGCTAGTAATATTAGTAAAATTTACTGTAATAAAATTAAAATTGCCAACAAGAAAGTTAAGTAAAGCGGTCATATTTTCTTCAGTTTATTTCTTAGAAACGTTGGAACAACATAGTTAGAGGCAAATAGCAAAGCAGTAATACAGTCAAGGAAAAGCATCTGGCTTAACAATATTTACGCAGTAAAATGGGTTAAGGAATGTATTCCCTGTGCCCGTTTGCGAAAACTTTTTCCTTGTTACGGCGAGAAAAGTATATTACTTTCTTACTAAAGTAAGAAAAGAAAACTAAAAACGTAATTTTAACGCTACGAGTTAAACACGTTTTTAGGATTCTATTCTAGAAAAATAACTTCTTTTTTTAATTAATGACCACTTTAACAGTGGTAGAGCCCGCTTTAACATCTTCGCTCGAATTGGCCCGGCTCGCCCGGTGAAATACCACGACCGCACAGAAGACATTCGTGAAGTGGAAGCAATTCCGCGTTTCGTCTGATGAGTGTGCGTCCCGGAGGCCTCATTTAGTCCTCTTTCCCTTCCCACCCTTTGTCTTATAAGGAAAGGATGGAAAGTGGAAGTGAACTTTCTGGATGAGAGGATGCATAGGAAGGGAAAATATTTTCTTTCTGTGCATCCTCTCCTCCGGCGATAAAGGTAGGCAACGCATATACAATTGCGTATGTCTATGGGCAACGGTCACTTCGCTATATCAGCGATTTCAGGTGGCCGATCGCTAGTTTGCCACCTTATGACATAAAAAAAAACTTAAGAACTATGGGAGAGGCAATGAGTAGTCGGGCTATAAATAATTGGTACGCATTTATTCTTATCATCAAAACGGATTTTACATTGGCTTTGCTACCCACTAACAACATCTGTTATCATTAATGGAATATACGCTCGCAAAATGTTCAATTTTTATAACTATTATTACCTAATATAATACTTAATCGTTACTTATCTTACTAATATTATAAACTAACTGTAGCCCGCGACTCCGTCCGCGAGGAATTAAAAATTAGATACCAGCCGATTCTCACCTACTAAATACGCATATAAAATTTCATAGAAGTGTCAAACCGTTTCGGAGGAGTATAGTAACTAACATTGTGACACGAAAATTTTATATATAATATTTTCGAGTAACTTAAACCGTTTATGCAGCGCATGCAACGATAGTCCTGAAATGAAAATAATTTTCCCAGTTTTTGCAACATTTCTCACTGACGCGTAATGTTATATAGCCTAAAGCCTTCCTATACAAATGGACTATCCAAAAAAAAAAATTCAAATCGGACCAGTAGTTCCTGAGATTAGCGCGTTTAAACAAACAAACAAACTCTTCCGCTTTATAATATTAGTATAGATGCGAATGTTTAGATGTATGGATGTTTGTTTGAAGGTATCTCCAGAACGGTTGCATAGATCTCAATGAAATTTGGCCTACATATAGAACATAGTCTGGAGGAACACATAGGCTGATTAAGTTTTTTTTCATTTCCGCGCGGACGAGGTCGCGGACGACAGCAAGTGATTAAAACGTCAAAACTACTTGATTTCAAAAATTCTTTCGTTATCCAAAACTACAGTATGATTGTATATCATAGGTTATATTCATTTTTTTTACTTCCACATGAAATCGTAAAGGAATTTCGGTATTCAACAATTTGAATATCCGTTAAAGCATTGAGTTCCGCTTGATAAGTGTATGCGTTGAGTATCAATTTTAATATTGTTTCAGTATTTTATAGCCATGGTTGAGAGACTGTATCACAGTATTATTGCTTTTTACATATTAATATGTTCAGTTTACTGTCAAGATGGTGCAAATAGTTCGTTAACGTTTGTTATAGACAGCACGGTGTCAATGTCTAGAGATATAAAAAGTGTAATAAAATGTGCCGATGGAATCTTTGATACTGTTGTTAATTCTAATAAATCCGAGATTGTAGATTTTGTTATTGTGACGTTTAATGATCCAGGTATATGTTTATAGTTTTTACAGTGGTAGAGCCGTTTTAACATCTCCCGGTGAAATACCACGACCACACAGAAGACAGGCGTGAAGTGGAAGCAATTCCGCGTTTCGTCTGATGAGTGTGCGTCCCGGAGGCCTAATTTAATCCTCTTTCCCTTCCCACCCTTTTTCTTATAAGGAAAGGATGGGAAGTGGAAGTCGTCTTTCCGGATAAGAGGATGCATGAAAATATTTTCTTTCTGTGCATCCTCTCCTGCGTCGATTAAAGGTAGACAACGGATATGTAATTGCGTATGTCTATGGGCAACGGTCACTTCGCTATTTCAGCGATTTTATGAGTAAAAAAGTAAAGTAAAGAAGCAAAGAAAGCATATGTGAAAAAGGATATACGTAATTGGGTGAATTCAAATATGACGACTGATAGAGATGTATGGAGGAGTCCATACTATGCCGACCCTCCATAGGGATGGCAAGTTGTTAATGATGAAATGAATCTTATAGACCTGATTATTTCAGATTACAAATTGCATATTATAACCAGTAATAAAGAAGAATTCAAAAGTTCGTTAAGCAAAATTCTTGTAAACGGTGGAGGCGATTGTCCTGAAATGACAATGTCTGGAATTGAACTGGGCCTTAAATCTAGTCGGCCATTTTCATATTTGTATGTTTTTACTGACGCCGCTGCAAAGGATATGAAAAAATACGAATCTGTAAAAAATTTAGCGTTGAATTTAAACATTAAGGTGATTTTATTTATTGTATTGAATTGTTGACTAGCTGTCGCCCGCGACTAAAAACTTAAGTACTAGCCTATGTGTTCTTCCATGTTATGTTCTACATTTACGCCAAATTTTAGTAAGATCCGTGCAGCCGTTCTGGAGATATCTTCAAAGAAACATCCATTCATCCATCTAACCATTCGCATTTACAATATTAGTAGGAAAATTGCATATTTTAACAAAAAAAACATAAATGCAAGAGAGGATACCAGTGCATGTGATATAAGGACGTCAAAGACCTATGCGGTGCCCTTGAGATAAAAATAAACACGATAAAATCTGCAAAATCAATGTAATTTTCAATGCCTATTGTTTGGGCAAATAAAATTGCAAATTTAATTATTTCGATCTTTATATTTAGGCGCACGTTAAGGTTAGCTTTAATCATACTAGTTAAATCAAATGATATTTTATTCTAATCCTTTTATATTTGATTATAGATAAGTTTCATTATATCTGAAGCTAGATGTGCCACAAAACCCAATTTCTCAGCGTTCGAAACATTAGCTACCAAAACTGGAGGTGATTATTTTTATATGAAAAAACATAAGATAAGTGAAGTAAGAAGTTATCAGTTTTATAAATATTGACAACACTTTTTATAGTTTAATTTAAAGTAATATATTGTTTATTTTCAGATAATTAAATATGTAGAAAGACTGATAGAGAGTAGAAAAGTTTTAATTCTGAGAAAACGCTTCAGACCGGATGAAGACCCGAAAGTTAATGTAATTAATAAAAACTATTATATTAATAAAGAGAGCGTCGGTGACTCAGGGGTCAAGCACTTGACTTGCAATCTGCAGGTCCTAGGTTCGAATCCTGCCATGTACCATTGTGTTTTTCGATTTCCGATTTACATATGTACATCAATCCATTATCATGCAACCTGCATGTATCTGAGAAGAAATTCAAAGATATATGTGAAGTCAACTAACTCGCACTGGGTCAGCGTGGTTGACTATGGTCAAGTTAATTTAAGTTACGAGCAAAAGTAAGTTAAGGGTGACAAGGCTATGGCCTAGGAACGCATCTGCGGTTCCTCTGGTATTGCTGATGTCCATGGACGTCGTTGAACACTTCGGTTTTCCGGCCGCTCGTTTGCCCCCTTCTGTTATAAAAAAAAAATTGTAGCCTAATAGTGGATTAACGTTGAAAATGTTTACACTTTTTTGTAACTTATAACTTCAGGTGACGCTGGATTCAGCTGTGAAAGACGTACTCGTTGCGGTGTCCGGTTATAAACCAGCGATACATGTCGGAAGCAAGCTAAACGATACAATTATCGTTGAACACATTGCAGATACAGAAAAAGCAAAAGTAAGTTGTTAGTTTAGAAAATAACGAATTTGGGTCCTTCGAGAAGCGAGCTTACCATTTCCTTAAAGGCCGGGAACGCATCTGCAGTTCCTCTGGTGTTTCAGATGTCCATGGGTGTCATTGATCACCTTGGCGCTCCCTTATAAAAAATCTACAAAAAAATTTAAAGAATTGTTCCGTCATCGGTTGACACGACAGACCACCAGGTTCCATCCACACCATCTCGATGGCTGGCAATCCACAACCGTGCGGTTTGCGCGAAACTTCCTACCTTGCACAGCAGCGTTGTGGAATTTTCTGTCCTCGGCGGCATTTCCAAACCGTTACGACTTAGGGTCCTTCAAGAAGCGACCTTATCACTATCTCAAAGGCCGGCAATGCATCTGCGGTTCCTCTGCTAGTGTTGATGTCCATGGGCGTCGTTGAACACCTCGGTGTTCCCGTTGCTCGTTTGCCCCCTTCTGTTATAAAACAAAATATATGATGCCAACCCGTATTGGGCCAGAGTTAACTATGGCCTAGTCACTAACTTCGTGTAGGCTCCAAGTCCATAAGTGGGAGACGTATAGTGAGCTGATGATGATGATTATAATTTGTGACAGTAAACTTATCCTTTCACAGATAATAGCCTGGAATAATACAGAACCAGGAGATTATCACATTGAAATAAAAACTGGAAGTGGCACGATTAATACATTATTGACAATATATGGAACAAGTAAAATTACCTTTAGTTATGGATTCTCTGTTCTTAAGCCTAAATATATGAACGAAACTACAAACAGACCAGTTGCAGGTAAATGATTTTACAATTATACAGGATGTCCGAGAATTACGTGTACAACGGGACAAATTCATTGGTCGAAAATATGACAATTTAACCCTTTTTGTGATATTTGAAAAAAGCCATCTAGCGGCTAAACGAAGCAACTTTGAAGAAACCTTTCTTGTTGTTAGAAAGTTGGGTTAAATCGTCATATTTTCGACAAAGTAATCAGTGGTAATCCGTTGTAAACGTCATTTACGAACATCCTGTATATTAATAGCGTTAGATGGTAGTATTTAGTATTGCTACTAACTTCAACATCCGTTATTTTTCAGATCAAAAATCTTATATTGTAATAAAATTAAAAACTGAAACCGAAAAAATTAACCTTAAAAGGATACAAGTCCTCGATTTGAAAGATAAAGTACTTTTGGATAAACAGATGAATATTATTAATAAAGACGATCAATTTTATATATCGGAACCAATAGTTTTTCCTAAAGATACATTCAAAGTATTGGTAAATATAAAACTGCACATATTAGAAATGCCTTTAAGCAGGAGACGAAAACTATATGATAGATTCTTCTTAATGTATCCTTGCTAGCTAATGCCAACTGATTACTTACATTTGTCCAAATATTGATAATTTACTGATTGATTTAACAGTGGTAGAGTCCGCTTTACCATCAATACCACGACCACACTGAAGAAAGACGTGAAGTGGAAGAAATTCCGCCTTTCGTCTGATAAGTGATTCCGGCGGCCTAATTTTAGTCCTCTTTCCTTTCCCACCCTTTTTCTTATCAGTAAACAATGGGAAGTGGGAGTGGAATTTTCTCTTTCAGTGCACAGGGGGTGCACTGAAAGAGTGCCTCTGTCTATTAAAGGTAGGCTGGCAACGCATCTGCAAATGCGTATGTCTATGGGCAACAGTCGCTTGCTATTTCAGCGATTTCAGGTCGGCTACCTGAAGTCGGCTAGCTCGTGTGCCAACATATGATATAAAAAATTCTGCAATTTACGTCAATTCTTTCGGTTGTACCATCATATAGTTCACTCCATCAATCTATGTCCTGAACTATATTTTAATGACTAATTTTTTAACATTGATCTACTGTATATTCAGATGATAGCAGAGGATGAAAAAACAAAGGAAACTATAAAACGTACTTCTTTACCTATCGAGCCGCAACAAGTTTTTCCAGGTAAATCTTTGCCGTGTCATATTTTTGTTATGTGATTTTTGATCTAATTGATAAGTAAATATCAAATAAATTTTATCAGATTCTATTAAAGACGAAGCACCTAAAGTTACAATTACGGGTGACAGTAAGGTGACATCATCTTATGGGAGTCCTTTGCAGTTGACTTGTAGAGTAACTGGACATCCTAAACCTAATATATTATGGACAGATGATGATGGGTCGACCTTGAAATTTACGGTAAATATAAATAAATAGATTATGTATACTAATACAGTTAAAACTTCATTGCTGGATGTAAACACCACAGCTCGGAGCCTTCCCCAAGTTACGGGCGATTAGGCCATAGTCAACCACGCTGCCCCAACCAAGTGCGGGTTGGTTGACTTCACATATCTTAGAATTTCTTCTCAGGTATATGCAGGTTGCATCACGATGTTTTCCTTCACCGTAAGAACGTCGGATAATTGTGCATATGTAAAACGGAAATCAAAAACAGATTGGTACATGATGAGATTCGAACCCAGGATCTGCAAATTGCAATTCAAGTGCCTAACCCCTGATCCTCCGAATGTTGGATGTGAAGGCTAAATTATTAAAGATTTGATTTAATTTTAGGTCACAACACTTAAAGAGGAATATGAATTTGTAAGTGTATTGGAAATAGATAAAGTAAATAAAAAGAACACATATGTTTGTAAAGCTACTAATAGTATAAGCAGCGATGAGAAAAGTGTTGAAGTTGAAATGTCAAATTATTTTGATGTTGTTAATCTTTCCAAAGGTAAGAAAGCAATAAAAAAAATTTGCATGTTGTTCTCATAATCTATTTTATTTAGAGATAAAAATAATATTTATTAATTTCTACCGATAGATAAAATAATAGAGTATAATACAGAGGACAAATTATACTGCAAAGTAAACGCTAATCCGCCCGTTAATGTAACGTGGTATTTAAATGGAAAAATAATTGTAAATGATGATAATTTAAGCATTACATCAGATCAATCGACTTTACTAATAAAAAAAATGAAACCCGAACATGTGGGAAAAATTTTATGTGAAATTCGCAACGATGTAAAACGGATCGTACATGATCTCCAACTGACAATAATAGGAGTGGGTATGTAACCTTCAGGCTCGGAACAAACATGCCACCGACTGCAGCCATCGGTGGCCAGCGTCAACCAGTTCACACGGTCGTTGGCCCGTTTGTGGCGAGCCTTAGAATATATAATTTTTTTAGTCGAATGTAAGTTTATAGATACGTACGTTACATTTTACAGAGGCTCCAAAAATCGATAACAAAATTACTGAAATCTATGCAAATAAAGGCTCCAGTGCAAAAATTTCATGCAGGTAGGTTTATATATATTAATCCAAAAAGCTGGCAATAAACAAATGTTTCGATTGTCGATCACCAATAATATCGCAGCACATCAATATTTGCAAATACACATTATGTTAACAAGCAAGGAAGAGGAGAGAGGTTAGGGAATTAACATAGTAGTAGGAGGAAAGCACTTAAAATATCAAAATTTCTTAGTAAAATATGGGGTTTTCTGGTACTTCTTCAGAGAAAGTAGTCATAGAGCAACATTGCTTGACTTTACTATATTTCACTCACATAGTGTACTAGCTGACGCTCGCGACTCCGACCGGGCGGAATTAAAAAAAACATAATCAGTAGCTTATATGTACATTCTGCCAGACTATATTCTATTTGCATACCAAATTACAACTAGATCCGCTCAGCCGTTTTGAAGATACCTTCAAACAAACATCCATCTGTACATTCGAATTTATAATATTATTAAGACAGTTTACAAAAAATATCGACATAGAAATAATATTAAAATCTATTTTTTTATGTTTAAGAATTTTAAAAGGAGATCCAAAGCCAACGATACAATGGTATTTCAAAGCAAAAAATAAGGATTCATTTTATCCAATAAAAGAATACAAAGAAGATATAAATATTGACAAGGTCACTGCTAACGTGGTTGGAACCTACAAATGCATTGCAAAAAATGAAATCGATAAAGACTCTCACATTGTTGACCTAATTATGGAATGTAAGTATATTGCTATGTTTTTTACACATGCCGAAGACCGAAGATGCATTAATCAAGTACGAGCTAAATGTGGATCTTTTTGATATCCAGAATGAATTAACTCTTTACAATTTACTGATGTACATTTACTTATTTTTTTATTTAAATATCTAAACATGATAAATCAAAACTTATATTAATTTAAATATCTTCTTAAATCTATGATATTAAATAATATATTAAAAACGAATATTTAACTAAAACATATTATTAAAAGATGTCTCTTTAGACAAGGTTTCGAAGATACTGGCAGCTTTCTCCCTTTGAATAGCTATATTTTTTGTCCGAGGTAGCTGTCAGCTCTTCGGTTCCTGTGAAGTCGATTAACTTTTTTTAATATTTCCTTAAAAAGCCTTAAAGCGCTAGGATCCCACGGACCAAGGGTCTCGACGTCGAATGAAAAAAAATCATATCCTGAGCCTAGACCCCTGTATTTGCTTGCTTTAGCATTTTCCGCCGTTTTACAGAATTGTATTTAAAAAGGAATATGTTTCAGACTCTCCTGTTATCATGGATAAGGAATATATTGATATCCTTAAAAGAATGGGGGAAACAATTACAATATCCTGTAAAATACATGGAGAACCAGCTCCAGAAATACATTGGTCAATAAATGGAATAAAAGTAGAGGATACCGAACTTTACAAAATTTATAGGGATCACACATTAACGTAAGATTTGACATATCAATATTTTATAATATTTAATTATTTTATAAGACTGAATACGCGAAAGTGATGGGCAATATTATAACAATTATTAAAACGAAACTGAAAGAAATAATCATGTTGATAAGAAATAGAAAAATGTAAACTGCGTAGCATTAGACCTATTAACTAGTACTAATAAGTAATAACAATATTATTTACTCCAAACTAGCACATAACAGAGGTAGAGCCCGCTTTAACATCTTTGCACGAATTGGCCCGGCTCGCCCGGTGAAATACCACGACCACATAGAAGACAGGCGTGAAGTGGAAGCAATTCCGCGTTTCGTCTGATGAGTGTGCGTCCCGGAGGCCTAATTTAGTCCTCTTTCCCTTCCCACCCTTTTCCTTATAAGGAAAGGATGGGAAGGGAAAGTGAATTTTCCGGATGAGAGGATGCATGGGAAGAAAAAAAATTCTCTATCTGTGCGTCCCCTCTTCCGTCGATTATAGGTAAGCAACGCATATGCAATTGCGAATGTCTTTGGGCAGCGGTCGATTCGCTGCTTCAGGGATTTCGGGTGGCCGCTCGTTCGTTTGCCACCATATAATATTTAAAAACGATTAACTTATTCTTTACAGTTTCAAAGCTTCTATAAAAACAATGGGAATGTATACTTGTGAAGGTGTGAACAAATTGGGATCTATTAAATATATTGCAAACGTAAGCGTTTTTGGTGAGTCTTTTTCCATATAAAAAGTTTCCCCGGCTCCGTCTCGTGGATCTTAAAAGTGCCCCTTATTGTTTTTGTGAACCATAAAGTATTTGCCCTGAAAATAATTAACATAAAGTTTCAAGTAATTCTACTAAAGGAATAACATCTCTCCATATATATTTTCGCCCACTTAAGACCTTCGGGGGGCTATTTTTTATATAATAAATAATAGTGTTCACCCACGAAGGACCAACAACCTCCATGCTAAATTTGCAGTTAGGCCAAGTTACTGTTTATAATTTACGGAAATTTAACCCTCATTTTTAACCTTTAGAGTGATTATTATAAATAAGCCAGAAAGACATGGTTCAATACAATTTTCAATTAACATCATTAAATAGAATATGAATCATCGATAAAGAACTCGAGTTGTTCCAAACTTTAACCTCTTAAATGACCTTTGGAGGACGAGTTTAGTAAATGTGCTCACGTACGTAGTAAGAGAAGATTATGTATGATTCAAGATTATTTAATATATTATCTTATTTGAGTATGTTGGAATATTATTATATTGTTCAATTTCAGAACCGGTCAGTTTTGATGTACCAAAGACGTTGACGATTAAAATAAGGCTTAGACGCACATTAGATATAACGTGTCCAGTGAAAGGATACCCGACACCATTGCTACGATGGGAATTTCATTCACGTGATGGCACAAAACGAAGGTACTGTTTTTAAAGTTCTGCATACATTTAACTATGCAACAATTTTATTACATTCAAAGTTTACCATTTAAATTAACCATTTTAATGTGAACGTGGAGTTTGAACAAATTGATTTGAATCGTGGAGGGGGACTTAAATTTAGTCACCCTCCCTTGTAATCCTAAGAATGCGTCAAAAAGAAAAATCATCTTCCTATATGGCTTTAAAGATTTTTAATATTTTATTCCAGAATTCTTAGTGAAAAAGCCCAGTTGGTAATTCCGGCGATTGCGGTAAATGATCATGGGCTCTACGTTTGTATTGCGAAAAACCCTGATGGCAAAGAGAAGTCTATTGCATACGTCGTTAATGTAGAAGGTACCTAACTACCTATCAGCTTACTGGACCTCCCCTGAAAAAAACAAATGAAAGGAAAGAAGAAAGGATAAATGAACATATGTAAATCGGAAATCGAAAAACACTTTGGTACATAGTGGAATTCAAACCCAGGACCTGCAGATTGCAAGTCAAGTCCTTAATCCCTGAGCCACCGACGCTCATCTTCTATCTAATATACTTCTTTGAAATTAATTTTAAAATACATTTACAGTGCCACCTTCTATCACACCAGAAGAAAAGGAAATTGTAGCTATTAAAGATGATATAGGCATAAGAATACCGTGTAATAGCAGTGGAAATCCAAAGCCAAAAATATCATGGATATATAAGGGCAATCCTTTAGCTATAGGTAAGAACGGACACATGCATCAAGATAGTTGAGCTTAGATCAAGCGGCTACGTGAATTCTCCGAAATAGCGAAGCTACTTTTGTCCATAGAATTGTACCGAAAACAATATCCGCACGACGACTAGTCGAGGATAGACATCGATTTTGTATAATATGTACGACTAGCTGTCGCCTACGACTCCATCCGCGCGACATTGAAAAAGCTTCAGGAGTAGCCTTAGTGTTTCTCCAGACTATGTTCTAGATCTATGCCAAATTTAATTAAGATCCATGCAGCCGTTCAATTCCTTTAAACATCCGTCTATACATCTGAACCTTTGCATTTATACATTTATACTTTGTATTAGTAAAATTAAAAGTCAGACCTTTTATAATTTGATATTTTATTTCAGGAAACGAATACTATAGTATGGAATCCGATGGAACTTTGCTTATTAAGAATGTCAAAGAATCAGTAGCAGGAACGTACGCATGTGTTGCTGAAAGCGAACTCGGCAAAGTATTTGAAAATTTTAAAGTAGTAATTAATAGTAAGTTTTCATATTTTCTGTACTGATACCATGCCATCCAAATAAAAAAAATGATTTAAATGGAGAATCATCAACCCACTATACGTCCCTACTAAGGGGCTCGGAGCCTACTTTAAGTAAATGAGGAACGAACTGATATATGAAATAAAATTAAGCTGAAATATTAAAATCTTCAATATATCTGCAATTTAATGCAATAGCAACATACAAATAAAAAGCAACGTCTGTATCTACATTATCTATGCAGTCCTAAAATACTAAAAAAATCTTTAAAAAAAAACGAAATTATATTCTAATGAAACTTTTCGCTTGCACTGTATTACAGTTTGATATTATTTAATCTTTCATTAGTAGCTTCATAAAAAGTTAACATTTCATAAAAATTAGTAATTTAATAATTAGTATTTAATAACAGAGTCGGTGGCTCAGGGGTCAAGCACTTGACATGCAATTTGCAGGTCCTGGGTTCGAGTCCCGCCATGTACCAATGTGTTTACCGATTTCCGATTTACATATGTACATTATCTGACGTTCTTACGATGAAGGAAAACATCGTGATGCAACCTGCACATATCTGAGAATGTCAACCAACCGGCACTTGGTAAGCGTGGTTGACTATGGCCTAGTGATCCCTAACTTAAGATAAGCTCCGAGCCCCTCAGTGGGGACGTATAGCTGATGATGATGAGTAATTTAATAAAAATTATCCAGTTTAAATAAACAATTTAATTTTTGCAGAGTATCCAATTAGAGGTGGGATCGTAGGTGAAGAGTATTTAGTAGAAAATAAACCCGCAGTGGTAAAATGTAATGTACCACATACGTCTACAGATCAAATATTATGGTACAAGGTATAATAAACATAATTCTTTTGGTTGATTCTTTTCATATTGTTTATCCAAGCGAGCTCCTACTCCAGGATTGGGTCGGGATGGCAACAGAAACGTGGAAACTTTATTGTTTGAAGCTCTATACTAGTCGATACGCTTATCTGCCAATATTTGATCTTTATGAGTATTTTTTAAAGTTTTTTTTTAATTATAAGGTAGCAAACAAGCAACCCTTGCACAAAGACATCTGTAATTGCACATTGCAGGGGATGCACAGAAAGAGAATATGCACGGAAAGGAAAAATATTCTCCTCCTCCCAATCCTGAAAATCCACTTACACTTCTCATCTTTTCTTTATAAGAAAAAGGGTGAGAAGTGAAAGAGGACTAATATTAGCCCGTCCGTACCACACTCATTTGACTCGGATTTGCTTCCACTTCACGCCTGTCTTCTGTGTGGTCGTGGTATTGCACCGGGCGAACCTTCCAATGTGTGCGAAGATCTTAAAGCAGGCTCTACCACTGTAATAGTTTATTTAAATTAAGTTAAAACTTACATATGATGCTTATTAGTATTTTTAGGGTAGATTTGTGGTTGCACGTGGTGACTTAATATTCAAGAAATACCGTAACTCTCGTAGTGGACTTTACAAATGCCGTGTTAGCAATTATTACAAGTCTATCACTGGAAACGTGAGAATTAAAACGGTAGTTAAACCACGATTTGTTTACTCACATACCAAACAAACATTTATGTTTTATGAGCCCGATCTTTGTCTAACTTGTGGGAACAGTGCAAGTCCAAAAACGGAGGTAAGCGTTATATTTAAAACTTTTCAGTAAAGTAAATTGATTAGTAAGATCATAATACTATTAATACTAAAATGGAAAGGAAACTTTTTAAGGGTTACGTACCTCATAGGAAAAAAACGGAACCCTTATAGGATCACTGTTGTCCGTCCGTCTGTCAAGACCCTTTTTTAAAATTACACATTAACAGCAAAAAATTAGTAACAATATTAATCATCATGATTATTATTAGTAAAATTTTCTTTGTTCCATAAATATTAAAAAAAATGGCATTTCATTCAACAGTTCCAACATTACAACTATCCATATACCAAATCAAAATGCTAAGATTGATGATGATTTTTCATTTTTTAAAACACAGATTTCCTGGTGGAAAAATAAAAGGAGAATAGTTTATTCTGGTGACACTTATTGCTGCAAAAATTCTGTAACCAGTATAGGAGAATACGAATGTGTTGTTGAAAATAAATTTGGAAAAATTAGTCGGAAATTTTATGTAAAGGCGGATGGTGAGTTGATATGCTATTAATTAGAAGCGAGCATACCATGCAGGAGTGCACTGGATACGGGCGGCACAGGACCGGGCATTGTGGCAATCGATGGGGGAGGCCTACGTCCAGCAGTGGACAAGTTTAGGTTGAGGATGATGATGATGATGATGATGAGCATACCATTTTCTTAAAACCGGCAACGCCTCTGGAGTTCCTCTGGTGTTGCTGATGTCCATGGGTGTCGTTGATTACCTCGGTGTTCCCGTCGCTCGTTTGCCCCGTTCTCTTATAAAAAAAACGGTCTGCTTACATTACACATAATTTAAAAATATTTGTTACTTTCAGATTGCTTGTTAGATATAAAAGAAGATTTAGAAAAATATCATCCTCTCATACTAAACCAAGACTACAAAGTTTCCGATTTCTCGATTAAAGATGGTCATTTAGCTATACCTATTGGTAACAAAGTTCAATTTTTCTGTCAAGGAGGCTTTAATAAGTTTACTGATTCGATATTAATAGCAGAATGCATGCAAAGCCATACTTTTAAAATAAACGATGAGGAGGTGGATTATACTAAATTGAAGTGTAAAGAAGCTTTGAAGCAGGTTACCATTAAAACTAAAGAAGATTGTGCCAAAGGTAACGGTGAAGTTTACCGAATCGGTATATATGTCAAAGAATTTATGGAAATGTATCAAATTTGCTATCACAAAATACTTAAGATTCCTTTGTACGGAGAGTACAATTTAACAACATCAGCGGCAGGTGTAAGCTGTGCATCACCAGAAATATGGTTTAACGATGATGTGATAAATTATAACAAAGATGAAATGTATGATTGCAAGCAACAAAGAAATGATCTAACCACATTAATAGGTCGAGATTTACCTGGCAAAGAAGACGAATGTTTTGGTTCCAGACAACTTGTAAACGAGAAGGACTTACCAGCCGGTTTTCCACAAATTTTGGCTCACAGCTATCTTAACATTGTTCCACAATGGAATTCTGATAGCATGAAGGTTTGTGATTTTTCTTTGATAAAAAAGCGCATATTTTGTTGACTTCTTGTAAATTATAATAATACCATATATGAATGCTAGCCACCTCAATGGTTCACCTTCCTCAACTAATTTGAGCCGTCGACGCTCTTCTGGATCTTCTGTATGTATCCATGTAGCCTGAGTTAGTAAAATTATTATTATTATTATTGCAGAACTGGGATATTTTAGAAGAAATACTAAGAACTGAAGTAAAGAAAAGGCACAGATCATTTACTAAATCAAATATATATATAAGAACGGGAGTATCTCAACGCTTTCGACTTTCTTTAGGAAAGTCAAAAGTCCGGTCTGACATTTACATTAAAGATAAAGCTGGAAATAAGATTTTACCGCCGGTGTACATATGGAAGGTTTGTCTAATGATATTTTTCATATACACATTGATTTTACAAACGGTGGGTTTCCGAGATAATAATCAATTGGGTATGTCAACAGTCACTTCATTTCAGCGATTTCAGTTTGCCGTTCGCTCGTTTGCCACCTTATGATATAAAAAAATCTCCGTATTAAAAATATTGTTACCTCTGTTTTGTCGAAGATAATGACAAGATTGAAGATATGTTCTATTCAAAGATTTTTATTTCAGAAACCAGTAGTAAATCAGAAGTTCTCTGTCCTTACGTTACTGTAGGTCTCCACGTTGACGTATTACCTTCTGTCTCATTGTGCGTTTGTGTATTTTAGGTAATTACAGATCAATTTAGCGCCGCGACGGTAGCCATCATTCAAGTCATGGTACCAGAATCTTTAAGACGTGACAACACAAAAGATTATGAGATATGTGAAAATCAATGTGACAAGATACAATGGCTAAAAGGAATCGATGTTGATTATTTAAATAGTGGTAACATGTTCTGTTGTAGTATTAACGATTTTGAAAAGGCATTTCGTTATCCTGTTGCATTCAGTATGGGTTATACAAAAATTTTAAGTATAATAAGCAGTTAGCAAGCGCTATAATGAGAGTTTTGTTTTTCTAATTTATATTTTAATAGAAATAAAATGGTTAAGATGTATGTTTCATTTGTAGTTTTATTTTTGATGTAGCTCAGGGGTTAAGCATTTGCCGCGGACGAGAGCAGAAGCGTGCCCGTGGTCACGTCCCGATGCCTCCGCTATGGAGGAGAATCCCACATAACTATCGCGTCCCTCCTGGGGCGCGGAGTATGCATAAAGCATTCGTCTCTGGAAAAAAATGGGGGTTAAGCATTAGACTTGTAAGCAACAGTTCCTGATTTCGAATTTGCCTTGTACTAATGTCTTTTTCAATTTTCGATTAACATATGAACATTAATCCGACAAATGAAGGAAACAACGTTTTGCAAACTGCACATATGTGCGAAGAAATTCAAAGACATGTAAACCTGTACTGGGTCAGCGTGGTTGACTATGGCCACACTAAGTGTAGGCTCCGAGTCCCTCAGTGGGGACGAGTCAGACGGACGCCGATACGTTGCATGTCTTTGTTACTATGTTCTTCTGCTCTCACAGTTGTTTATGTTATTTTTCTTAATGCAAATGCAATATTGTCAATGGGCACATGTATTCGGTGCTTTCTTGGATATAATATTTAAAACCAACATGTTAAATAAAATTATGTTAAAGTCTCCCAACAATATGCAGCGCTTAATAAACAAGAAGTGTGTCAAGTAAGTTTAAGGCCGCGGCCACGAAATTTGCAACAAGCGTGGAGGTGCGATAGGCGGAGCGGGAGCGATGTATTTAATATATAGCATAAAGATAAGGGTCCATTGCTTTGTCTTGATGCGATGCAGACGGTGTCTGTGAGGGACCCAGCACTATATAAAATCAACATGCAAACTTAACTCGGTTGCGGGTCATGCGGTGCGACCGGCGTGGGCCAATGGAAGCGTACCTTAATACAGCGACGGCCACGAACCAAGCGGGAGCGGAGCACTACTCTTGTTTACATAGTCACTCCAACTGATGTCGTGCCCGTCGCCATATGATTTATTTTATAACAACGAAACTATACGTCCGAAACTGTACACATAGCGTTGAGTTTCACTGTACACATTGCTATCTGTTTTTATAAATGTAAATAGAAAATACATTAATATCGCAATTTATGTTGTAGTGTATTCGTACCTTAAGATTAAGACATGACGGCGGAAATTAAATCTTTCTTGGAAATGTCACAGCAATATATCTTTCTTGGAACTTTTCTTTTGAAAATATTTCAATAATTTTTTATTAGCAGAACAGCGTCCCTTCCCGGCTTCATTATTTTGTTTTAAATAAAATTAATATATTACTTCCCGATACCGTAGCATACTTATAGTGAAAATTTAATATTGATTCCAAAACAAACATATGAAGTTTCTTTTTATTCTTTTGTCTTGTGCTTAATTGCATAGTCGTTAATTTGAGGCGCAGTTTTAAAAATCATCATCATAATCAGCCTAAATTTGTCCACTGCTGGACGTAGCGCCCCCCATCGATTGCCACAATGTTTTAAAAATGCTTATCTCAAATTTTGATAAATGTTCTTTCTAAAAGAACATGTTTTCTTACCAAAAAACTGTTAATTATAGGACAATTTCCTTATGCATTGTACAATAAGAGAGATTTGTTAATGATGTCGCGTTCTTTTATACTTTTAAAAATAAACGCAAACACAACTGCTAAGGTATTTAAAAAATGTTGTAAAAATTGTTTAAGGTTTACAGTAACGAATGAAAATATAATAAGCGCCTGTCAAAATAAAATAGGCAAATTTGTTTAAAACAAAACTCACATTTTGTTTTAATCAATTTAATTTTACAACATTTAAATAAATATTTATAAGCAAAAATACTATTGCAACCTTTTTGTTGTATAAACGAAAAAAAGGTTTCCATTCTACGGGTACTCCAGCCGCAAACTGTCAAAAAGAGGAAAGTCGCCTATCTGGGACATGTTCTGCGGCACGACGAATACGACCTTCTCCAAGTAATTATGATGGGCAAAATCGCAAGCAAAAGACGAAGAAAGAAATCGTGGTTGCGAAATATAAAGGAATGGACGAATATTGTGCGTGGAACATTTATTTCGCTTGGCACAAGATCGACGAAAGTTCACTGAGTTGACCGCCAACATCCATTAAATGGAGAGGCACCTTGAGAGAGAGAGAACGAAAAAAAGATTGATAATTCAGTGAGTTTATGTGATAAGCCTATGAAAAGTCCGGTTAAAGCGAACATTTATGTAGATTTTCACTCAACATTTTCATTGTCTGTGCAAAGCCTTTAAGCTCGCCCGAGTTTTTAGCTTTGAACAGGGGTAAAGTTACCAATTTACATTATCTATGTCCTATGAAAATATTAACTTATTTTGAGCTCGGGAATAAATAAGTTTAAGTAAAATTTAAGTAAATATAAAATGATAAAAAAAAGATTAAATAAAACACTTCACTTATTTAAATAAGTGTCCGGAATGTTTTAATCTATATATACAAAAGAAAGTCGTGTTAGTTACACTATTTATAACTCGAGAACGACTTTACCGATATGGCTGAAAATTGTTGATGAGGTAGCTTAGAGCCAGGAGACGGACATAGGATACTATTTATTCATTTTTTTCGAATTTATGCCTTGAAGAGCTGCTTTTTATTTAACTTACTAATATGTAATATAAATGCGAATGTTTAGATGGATGTGATGTGGATGGATGGGTGTTTGAAGATATTTCTAGAACGGCTGAACGGATCTCCATTAAATTTGGCATAAGCATAGAACATAGTCTGAAAGAACACATAGGCTACATTAATTAAGTTTTTTTTACATATCCACGCGGACGGTATCGTCGGACGAGTTGCAACTTGTATACTACGGCGATTGTTCCAAAATACATTTTAATTTACAAAGCCAAGGCAATCAAGTGGTTGGTTCGTCTACAACGAATCTGCATACTGTTAATCGAAAAACTAACGGTGCGTGAAAATTACTTTTATGGAAAATTCTGTACGAAGTATCCTTCATACTCAAGCGATAGTAGTTGCCTTTTGTCTTTCCGTGCGGTCAGTCTGAAAATTCTTTGACCGATTACAAGAGTATTACTGTAGTAGTTAGTCCAAAAAAAATCTAAAATGTTAGATTCAATGTACTGAAGTAAACAGTCTTAACAGTGGTAGACGCCAGCTACCGCAACTATTGCACTGATGGGCCTTAGCCGGTGCAATGCCACGACTACACAGAAGATGGCGATGAAGTGAAAATAATTCCGCGTTTCGTCTGATGAGTGTGAGTTCTAGAGGCCTTATTTTAGTCCCCTTTCTTACCACCCCACTTTTAAGGAAAGGATGGGAAAGGGAAGTGTGTTTGATGGAGGAAAGGACGCATAGGTAGGGGATTGTCTTTCTGTGCGTCTCCTCCTCCGTCAATTAAAAGGCAACGCATTTGCAATTGTTGATGGCTATGGGTAGCGGTCACTTCGCCATTTCGGCGAATTCAGAAGTTTTGAAGTTTTGAGTTCGTTTGGAAGATTGCAACCTTATAATATAAAAAAAATGTATTCATATTTTACGTGTTTGTTGAAATTTTTGCTTGTATTTAGCGTTTTTTTTTTCAAAAGGAATAACTGAATAAAAACCATAAATAGGTCAGATTTGATTTTACATTTTCATATTTTGACAGTACGCGCAATTTACACTTTAGGCTTGATATGAATAAATAATAAGAGATAGAACGTCAAAGGGTTAGTCAAATGACGAGGGACCCTATTAGGTGCTCGGGTCACTTGTCAGCGGCTCTTTATTCAGAACAGTTATGTCCTCTTTGTAGTTGTAGGATTCTAAGAATCGGAGTAAATATACTTATACATATAATACTTATAAAATAAGTAGCTTTCGATCGCGACCTCGACCGCTTAGAATTAAAAAAAAAATAGAAGCATATATGTTCCGGAATATGTTTTCTTCCATACTATGTTCTACATCTATGCCAAATTTCAGCGAGATGCATGCGGACGTTCTGGTGATATCTTTTAATCATCCATCCAAACTTTCGCATTTATTATATTAGTAACCCTAACATTTTAGTCCTCTTCCCCTTTCCACCCTTTTAATTAAGGAAAGGATGGGAATGGGAAGCTTTTAAGGTTTACGATATTTTTGTTGAAGGACTCTAAGACGTAATAATTTGGAAATTAACTTATAACTTACTTAGATTAATAACTTGATTTTTCTTCCTACGAATATTAAAAGTAGAAAACACTAAAACCCTCGATAAAACAACACCGTTTTGTGATCCTTGGCATCAGAAAGTAATTCATTAAAAGTTAAGTAATCAAACATTAGCAAGGTAATCCTTTAGTGAATTTGTTATTCCAACCCAAATCTATTTTAAAAGCTTTCAACTAACCGCAGATTTCTGAGACCGAATTCTCTATATAAAACATATCATCCTTGTTAGGGTTCCGTACAATATAGGAAAAAAACGGAACCCTTGTAGGATCACTTTGTTGTCCGTCCGTCTGTCAAGACTCTTTTTCTCAAAAACGCGTAAAGGTATCAAGCTGGAATTTATTTTTAAATAGAGATAACATCTTGTTATAAAAGAAGTTTTGGTCTCAGAAACCCACTGCATAAGACGCAATCTCGCCACGGAGTTGAACGCAAATAAACAGATCTACGTGTTAATTGAAATCTTTTACAAATAGCTTTGACAATTCCGTCTATGCGTAATTAAAAATAACCTAATTAGTAGGCTATGTGTTCTTGGGCCGCGGACGAGAGCGAAAGCGTGCCCGTGGTTCCGTCCCGATGCGTTGGAGGAACAGAGGGGTTTAGTGGGTATGCCTCCGCTATGGATAAAGCATTCCCCTCTGAAAAAAAAGGCTATGTGTTCTTCCAGATTGTGTTCTACGTCTATGTAAAATTTCAGCCGGATCCGTTCAGCCGTTCTGGAGTAACCTTCAAACAAACATCCATCTATCCATCGAAACATTCGCATTTATAATAT